CTCCGGGTCCGTTATGCTGTGTGTCGACGGACTTCCCTTTTCTCTTCTCAAATACCACTCTCTTATGTACCTCACTATGCCCTGCGTTAGAATATGTATGGCAAGCACGCTCTTGATCCACCCGTGCGGTCCTCTCTTATCGAAACCGCGCGTAAATGTTTCTAACGGATCGTCGGAGTCGGGGGAGAACCGCCAATTGGCTGGGAGGAACTTTGTTGCCCGGGTCCAGTGAAATCTTGAACCGCGCAGAAGATGCGAGCCTATGACCAGGAAGAAGCAGGTAGTGACGCTCCTTGACGCTCCCTCCCTCGTGTTGGATCCGCCACCCAAAGTGGCGGCGATGACGGGCTTTGCAAAGTCAAGGATGGCGAGCTGCATGGGCGGCCACAGAAAGAGCCACACGAGCAGTATAAAGACATCCATGCAGAGCACCGTAACGAGGGAGGGCATGGTGGAGTTGTAGTCAAAGATCTCGGCGAGATTGATGTTCATTCCAGAGCTCGTAGTAACAGGGGGCACAAAGGTGAGGAAGGTGAAGACCATGTAGATACCGGAGAGGGCGACGGGAGGGACCTGCATGAGCAGGATGAGGATGGCAAGGGTGTCGTAGAGAGGCAGTGCCCTCAGGACGGTAGCGGCGAACTCGATAGGGCCACCAGGGTCGCGATGGACGTCGGCGTTCTTGGTGGCGTTGACATCAATCTGGCGGTGGCTCGCGTCAGCAGCACCATTGCCCATGGCGGAGGAGAGCGAGTCGGACGAGGAAGTCTCGGAGCAACCGCCTAACGAGGGCCGCCTGGTAGCGGCATGGCCATTCCGGTGTTCAGGGGCCATGATGTTGCCGTTGTGGTCGGAAGCGGGCGCAGCGAGGTTCGGGGTCTTGAGGTGTCCGTTGGAAGTGCCGTTGGGCAAAGGCGAGGGGAGAGCCGGGGCAGCAGCATTCTGGTCAGAGGATGTCCCAGCTGAAGCGTCGAGGTTCGACTGGCTCTTCTTGTTGGCAACTCGCTTGGCGGGGCCTACAAGACCATTTTCGTGCCTGGTGTCGCGTTGGTTGGCGGCGCCTTGCTGTCGCTTCGCAGAGCTGGAAGCACGAGGCATGCGCTAGGAGGATATCTGCTGTCCGCCGACCCGGGAGCCCTTTCAGAGGCAGGTCGGGGGGCGCCAGCAGCACGACTTGAACTGGTCTGGATGCTGGAGGAGGGGGAGAGGCGAGGGAGCGATATCCCGCCCTCGAGAGCGATCGGGACAAATGTGGCGTGGGCGAGGTCGAAGATGACGGAGGGAGAGAGAGAGAAAGAGAGAAAGGCGACTATGCACTCGACGCAAAGGAGAGCGCAAAGACGTAGATATTCGGAGGATTGCCGTGGGGCCTCATGCGTCGTGGCTCACGGCAGCAGGTCGGAAGAGGAGGGGAACCGAAGGAGGGTGGGTAGGTGGGTGGTTGAGGTTCCAGAGAGGCGGGACGGTGATAATGATGGTTGAGTTGTTGTTTTTTCCGAACCTTGGAACGGGGGGGAGGTTTGTGTGGTGGTGGTAAAGTAAAGTGTTGCCCAGATTACTCGCGTCGGGAAAGGTTCGGTAGGTGGGTTGAAAGAGCAGCGATGCAAAGTACCTAGGTGGTGCTCACGTCCTGTACTGTGTAGGTAGGCACGTACTGCGTAGGGAAGGAAAGGTACCGATGGAAGGAAACAGGGGGCTACTTGGGAAGAGGAAAAAACCAAGGCAAAGCCGCAATATAGTGTGGAAGGCGCTGTGGTGCTCGGGTACCTTCCAAGTTTATTCGTAGCCTTGGGTAAGCCCACAAGACACTTCGGTACCTTGGTCACTTAGGTAAGGTACCGGGGGACAGACAGACAAAGAAGGACCTGACCTGACCTGAGTTGGCAAGGGCGGCACGAGTTCGGGTAAGAGCCGAGAAATGGGGATGAACTGAGGCGTCAAAGAATTAAAAGTCAGTGGAAGAAAGCCCTCTCTTTCCTCCCCCATTCATCTCCGTGTACTCCGTATTTGTAAGGTGACTGTATTTCCGAGTAAGATAGTATGCCCGCCCGTACAATTACAGCAGCAACACATCCAATTTGTTGTCCGTGAAGAGGAATTTGTGGTGTGTTGGTCTCTTTTACTTTATTTTTTATTCCTAGGTTTTGAGCACTCCCCTTCCCCTCTGCAGCAGCCAGTCCCGGGACATCGAGCAGTGGTGTTAGGGGCAGAGCGCCTCGCTTCGAGTTTATTTTAAAAAAGACTGCGCGGGAACAGCACGAGAGCAGGGATGACGGATGGTGCGGGAAAGGATCCAGTCGCACTGTTTCGACTTGGGTGGGTGGACGGGTACGTATCTCCTTGTCGATACGTATCCGAGGACTGCTTTACATTTTTCACTTGGTATTTTTTTCTTGTGTTCCTTTCACTTTTCTCGCTGTTCCTCCCGGTCTGATGAGGTGTGGGGAGGTACTTTGGCTCAAGTCCCCTTCAAGTGGGGTCCTGACTAGATCAATCCGTCCTCAGGAGCTGTCCCATTGGTTTACGACCTCCAGTGTGGAGATAGGGTCCCTTCTTCCCTGACCCACTCACGACGCTTCTCCACCCTCTCCTCGACCCCCCGATCAGAATCAGAATCAGGATCTCGGATCTGGACCTGGGCAGTACTTGTGACTCGGTCAAATTATGTCTAGCTCAACGGGCAATTTCCTTTCATGCTCTTGTACATTGGGGTACCCCCGACCGAGGCAAGCCGCAGTTGCCAGCGCCGGGATGGATCATGGAGGCCGATTCAAGGTTGCTGATGGGATGAGATGCCGTTGGCGGTCACGCAGTTCTGCAGCCCTTTGGATTCTGGGGCCGCCGCCAAAAAAGTAAGATTACAGGGGGCCACCGGCGCTGAAGCTGCTAAACGAGCGCTGACTGAGTGCTGGATGACGAGTTCACGACATGCAGCATGCAGTGATGCACCCTCGGCCTGGCTTGATAAAGGCGTTGTTCGGACAGGGTGCAGAAGCTTTGTTGTTCATGATTTGTTGTTCGTGATGTGGATTGACTATGGAACGGGGCATTCGTATGGAAACGCATTCGCATACTGAGGTTACTTTACCTACCTACCATAAGAACGGTATGCAGGTAGGTAGGTAGTCGTAAACAGGGCTGGCCAAGCACGGGAGATGCAGCGCATTGCATAGCTGCTGCTCCAGCCTCCAGCTCCCAGGGCCTGGCACAGGATGGATCCCCAGACGGAACGGAAAACACGCAAGCAAGGCAAGAAATCGTGTCCTGCATTACCTGACATGGCGGCATCGTGCTGGGATATCAATGTAAGGTATTTCTATCCGTAGTCTTGTTCCATTATGCCTTCCGCCCCTTCCGTGCTTCACTGCTCACTGTTCAGACCAAGTATCGTATAAGTCGAGGAACCTGACGTAGGTACCTTAGACACAGGCAGGAGGGTAGGTTCCTTCCACTGAATACATAGAGAAGTTGAGAACCTAGGTAAGGGATAGACATTGAGTAGGTACCAAAGGCAAGGTACCTGGGCAGGCAGAGAAAAGGAAGGTATCGTGGTCGTGTGCCTTCTCAACTTCGTGCAAGTACCTACCTCAGGAGACTACCTTACCAATGTCAATTGCTTCCTTCCATACCTCATGTGCGGTGTGAGGTTGGGAAGGTGGTGCTCCCCTCCGTGCTGCGCGCCTCCTTCCCATAGAACAATCCTCATATCCCAACTCTAAATTCCCTTCTTCATTTTACTCTTCCCAAGTCGCCAGGTCTTCTCCCCAATCATTCCAAACATCAACCATCCCTTACACAGTATTCGTACGGATACCAGTGAACGATACATTTCTCTCTTCTTCGACATCCCCGTCATATTCAGCGCCCCTGACCACCACCCGCCACTACGAGCCTAGGTACGACAGCGCCGTCGCTGGACTCACTGGAACGTCCTTCTTCTTTCGTCCCTAGTTCGGTCACTCGTCGTCTTTTCTTCGTCCTGTCCGCGGCTTCTGTCATCGACCGTTGTCCATGCTGTCAATCCTCCGCAACACCCATCATCGCTGTTCGCATGACGACCCGGCTCAGCTGGAATCTTTGGGAACATACCTAGGGACGTAATGAAAGAAGAGACTGTATGATATCCGTACCGCCTGTGCCTGATCATTACACCTGACTCTGTCCCTCCCAGGCCGTTCATCGCTCCCGTTCACCGACCTTGAGGTACCACAATACATGCCCTTGAAGGCACTCACGCATCGACGCATAAATCAAGTAATAAGTAATGGCACTTACGTCGGATAGGCATGCCGCCAAAGCGATATTCAGAGCCAGCATCGGGGCTACTGCCAATGGCCCGGTTGAGCTGCGCTGAACGCCCATCCCGCACTCTCTACCACATGTGCCTGGTTTCTTTCCTCCAAAGCAAGCTATGCTGGTGCTCCGTACACAGCACTATCCACTAGTACCGACACACAGTCATTGTCAGGCCGGGCCTTATTGTCTGCAGGCTGTCTGGGCGGTGGACGATCTCTTCGTGCTCGTCATCCCACACGTCGACGCAACTTGGCCATCACGCAGTACTTAGCACCTTGGAACACGACACGATAGGATGGACCACCAGTGCGTGTACTACCTCCCGCCTTCCTTGTCACCTCGAGACTAGGCTCTCCCCGCTCTTGCAGACCACCCCCGCGCACTCAAAATTTCTTATCGCTTTCCCAGCGAGCCACGAGGACATCTCAAAGACAACCATCGCCTGTCCGCCCCGGCCGAAGCTCGACATCATTCACCAATCCTCGCTTGCCAGAGCCCGTTCCCCAGGCGCACACCGACGATCGTCAAAGTATGCTCCACATCACGCTACGCTATTCCGACGGAAATATATTCGCCTCAAGGGCTACCATTTCGGCCTCCCCCTTGAAGGGGCACGATGCCACCCACACATCCACGGTTCCGTCCACCACCAACCGCCAGCCGCACAACGTGCTTCCCGTTCTCTGGTGCTCACTGTGTGTTAAATGTACCTGTATAAGTCTCCTCCGACGCTCGGTGGCCTGACGTCCCACGATCACCATCTTGACGCCGACAATCGGGGCACAACTTCACAAGTCGAAACGCTCTTCGGTGAGGCACCAAGCACGAGGCACGAAAACGTGGGGACGAAACCAAAGAACCTGGCAAGACGAGAGTGCCTTGACCCCTTGGACCCCTCGCACAGTGAAAAGCATCACGGGCGGACGACAAATCCAGCGCTAGCCCTCCAGAGCGAGCGTAACCAAAATCACCAAACACCACCATCACCTCACGGGCCAGCATCCAATTTCAGGGCAGCCATGGATCAGGGCAACGATACCACCAAGCCAGAGGACAAGTCGACGGGACAGGAGCATCGTGGGTGGAGCTTGTGCTCGGCCGCGACTCGACGGCGGAAGACTGAGACTCGTATGCAGCAATGCATATTCGTCTCGTTATGTCTCGTGGTTGACAACGCACCATCACATTACACTCGCACTGCACTCTCACTTTGGCTCACATTCAGTAGTGCAATGATTTCTGCGGGACGTGCAGCATCTCATTGCCTTCATCCTGGCACGAATGGCAACAGACTTTTGGGAGGGCAGATTTCCCATGTCGATCATCAACTAGTCGAGGAATGTCGCATGCGTAGCTTTCTGGGCACTGCACCAACCACAGCATCGTTAAGGCGGCATTCGCTCGAGCCAATTCCTCCTCAGATCCAGCATGATGTGACATGACGGGGCCAGCTTGACACGCGGACAGCCTACAGAGTACTGTACGGGCACGTACCGGTACAGGCACAACGCTTTGCACGCGACTGACGAGTCTCAACAGCGACTGGCAATGACTACGAATACTGCTGATGGCTGGACACGGCTGTGGTCCGGAGATCCGCATCGCTGTTTTCGACCCCGTCGCAGGCCCTAGACAAAGTGGTCCTGTCCTCGCAGGCGCCCATGTCTTTGTCGCCTTTGCCCGGCTGTCGACGATCTCCTTTTGATTCGAAACATAACAAAGCCATTTCTGGAAATAACCTAGACAGTGCGCGTCGGCCATCCCTCCTCTCCGCTGCCAATCACCCTATGGTCTCTCCGAAAGAGCCGGCGAAGTAGTGAACGGCCGCCGACCGCTGACCGCTGACCGCTTCCGATGACTTAGTTGAGCCCCTCCATTGAGCCAACATCAAATCTACATCCGGCCTCAAATGAACCCGCGGGGTGGACGAGACGGGGTGGACGACGGGGTTGCAAAAGTGTCAACGGGGCATATCCGTACTATTATGGACAGGAGAGAGAATTTGGCAAATCTTACGGCGCTTCCACCTTTATCGATAATCAGCTTGCAGGGTCAAGCTTTTCTTGCCGCCATCTCCACCTGTTTAGCTAATTATCCTCCGATCGAGATGACAGGTATCCCACCTGGAAAAGGAGGAGGGACAAAATCGAAAGGAGCAAGACAGTGCGGCAATGCAACCACATCCTGGACCGTCGTCAGGCGTATTCAACCTGCTCGACAAGTCACGACAGAGATGATTGGAAAATACTACCTGTGATGGTTGTGAACCCCCACTTGGCCCCCCCAGGTCTTGAGCATAAACGGCGAGGAACAAGAGGGAGCTAGGCGCAGAGAGGTAAAGCAAGTCGATCGGCCTGTCGGCATTTGGCTGCTACCAGCGGCGCGCCTTGCTGCCAGATTGCCTCCCATGTCACAGCCGGTGCACTTCAAGTGGACTGCTGACTCGGGATGCCGTGGAGAGCAATTTGCAGTCGAATCACCTGATTCGTGGTGCCGTACAGAAATTCTTCAAAGAGTCAGTGACCAAGCGTGGGTTGCGGGTGTCCTCACCAGGACTTTGTATCACTATTAGTGCCTGACGATGGTAGGACTTTGAGGACGAGGGGAGAGTTGGAGGAAGAAGAAGAAGAAGCGATGTTACGGCACTTTTCCCACAGTCTCACTCATTCTCTGCCGCTGCAGCAGCCATACTTCACCATTGGATCTCGACTGCAGCGAGAGACTTGATGGGACAATGACCTCTCCAATCATGGATAGCGAGGAGATACGACTAGCACCCCGTCAACTGATCTAGCATCGAGACTTAAAAGCCCCGGGAATAAGCTTCAAGACGCCAGCCTTCCTGCAGCACAAGCTACGGCACGCCTCTCATGCAGCCCCAGGCCCCAAATCACCTCAACACGCAGCACTGCAGCACCACAGCAGCTCACCTCATTCACCACCGCAGCCTCCAGAGCTTACACTTGCAAAATCGCGGCTCCTCCCCCTCCATCTCGACGAGGGAAAAAGACTTGGCGGCCCATGATCCGGTCGCGAGCTGATTGGTGCCCTGCAGACCGTTATATTTCTGCGGCTGCTTAGCGGGGTCGACTTCCCTCTCGCCCATGTCCTTTCGCACTGTGGTGCTGACTCTGAAGGCGGTCTGCAGGCTGTGGCACCGCTCTGCCATCTGGTCGTATGGGTACGGATATACACAACGAGAATACCCATGTACGGATGCGTGAGGCGACACAACGTAATAGCGCAAGGGCGGCTCCGTGCGATGCGGATCTCCCGGTGGGCTCTCTGCGCCGCCCCTCTCGGAGCGAATTTGAATTTTCCAGCGGCGGACACTGGACGCGAGGCCAGCCGGTGCGCCGTATACGTGTGGAAAGATAATTTTGAGAAATTTTTCACGGAGCGAATTTCCACGGAGCCTCTGATGCTCTTTTCCAGAGCCTGTGCCGCCGAGAAGACTCCGTGACGCTACATGCGTATGGAGCAGGACGGACAGCGGTTATTGATGCCATGACATGGAGCCCAGTGGCACCATTGTCTTTGACAGTGAAGAGTCCTTTTCAGCCGTTCCAATCACTGGTCTCCAGGTCACATGTCAACCCGACCGCATCGATTCATTTTTACGCGCTCAACCCGTGCCAGCATTTCTGCAATGCATACACCAAGATGAGATTTGGCACATGATCAGGGGTTTTTAGGATCACGGCGTCGAGTAGTTGCGCGCTGTACCTTTCTGAGTCTCTATCTCAATGACTGGTATTTACCAGGGGCCAATGCTAGGGATATCTTCCGGCGGCGTGCTTTGTATCGTCTATTCGGCAGACACTTGAGTATCTCTTGCGTCGCCCGTAGGGTCGAATGGCCTCAAGCTCTCTTCAGCCATCAAGCTGTCGCCCGTTATCTTGTCTAGCGGAGGGGCACGCTCAAATGGCGGGGTCAATTTCCTCTACAAGAGGACCGCTTTCGCCTCGACTCGCCTATGACTGATCAAATTGAACCAAAGTCCATGCGTCTTCTCGCCTCGCTCGACTTACACGAGCGACTCTCGCTCTTTCCGTCTCGGGTTTCCGGCTCGACCACGGATTTTGCTCGCGTCTTTGGTCCGATGGCGATAGTACCCATTGCCGTGAGAAGTATTTGTGCACATGTCATACTCATATTTCGTTAGGGCGCGGCGCTGCCAAAGTCCTCCTTGGCGTCTGGTCTTCTCCATGTACCCAGTTCCAGGTTGTTAACCATTTTCGCGATATGTCTTGCATGTCCATCTGCGGCGTTTCGCTCCGCGTCGGTGCTGGTCAACTCAGCCACCCGCTTCAGTTCACGGCTGAGCCAGGGCAGCCCTTTTCTGTCATGAGTGCAGATCTTCAGATGCATGTTCAAGTCGGCTATTTTGGTGAAGTGCTTGTGTGAATAGATTACAACCTTTAAACGGAAGGTGGACTTTTCTTCGTAATCGTTTGACAGCAACCTTGTGTAGGCGCTGATAACTTGCGGCTCGTGCGAGAGTGTCTAGTAGGGAAGGCTCATCAGCACATGCATGCTTGAGGGACGAGGGGCTGGGGGCGCAAAAGAGACTGTGATGTTGTGGGCATACCGGAGAGGCGCGGGTTTGCGGTGGCGGTTTGTTTTGGCAGTGCATGGTTGTCAGTGTCTCGTTGCAGGCGTGGCTGTCGCGAAGACGCTCCCACTCTAATCTATCTTGAGGATCTGCCGTCTCGAGAACGCGGTCCAGAAAACGGGCGATTGACTGCTCAGCGACTTGGGTCAAGGTAGACGCTTGAGATATACCCTACGAGAGCAAACGGGAACAACAGTCAGTGGCGCTGTTGATACAAGTTGGTCACACAAGACCAAGATCGGGACCAGGACTGGCACTGGCACTGGCGCTGGCACTGCTTAGCGCAGACGGCGGATCAAAGACTCACCAGCCATGGACGATGACTCGGCTCGCCATCTCGCAGTCGGACAGTGTACGCCGAGTTCTTGGGGTCGTAGAAGCCCTGCGAGACTGCGTGGAGATTACGCCATTCGTCGTTGATGGTTCTCAGGAGACTGGCCGCGCGTTGGGTCTGGTCTGGGTCGCAGCCAAAGGCGAGGCATTTCCCGATGCGCTTGTAGAGTTCTCGCGGGCTGAGCGAGATTGTGTTTGCGAGTTGCGTGTTGTTAGAGTATAGGGGCCATTTGCGGCCGGCCTTTGGGGGAGCTTTGGCGGCTTTGGAGACGGCGGCGGCGGCGGGCTTTGCTTCGCGGGAGTATTCTGAGACTACGCGGGATAGCATTGACTGTTGGAGCCGCGTTGTTGTGGACCTCATTTTTGGGAGAGGCTTGCTCTGACGAGCGGGATGCGTGAGGTGTGTTGGGATCGAGGTCGGGGTCGGGAATCGGGAATCGGGAGTCGAGGTGCGACGTGCGAGGGTGATGGTATCAAGGTTAGGTTTCGGTGTCGCTTTTCTGTAGGTGCCGTGTCCTCCACCAGTTAGATGGCGACGTGAGGGATAAAAGAGGGTTGAGAGATGGCCGGCCTCGAACTCCCAATGTCCCGCGGGTTTCGAATGGCGAGGTTGAAGATGCGGCGCGGCGCAGTTCGGCCTCGTGGGTTGAGCTGGGGGAACGAACAGGTGGGATGAGGTTGAAAGTTCCAACCAATCATGAGAGCTGAGCTTGGTGGTGGGGATGGCACCTTGGGGGGGTGTCTTACATCATCTCGCCGAGGTCTGAGGGCATGGGAGCGAGCTGTCGACCTCATCGACGACGACCTTGCGAGCCATGAGCGGGAGATGCGATAATTGACGGGACTGCGCCATCTCTTTATACCATCACTTGCAACGACGACATTTAAAGACTGCCACTCTCTGAGATTTCGCAAGCTGCTCCGACAGTAGTTCAAAGAAGAGGATGAGCGTCGTGAATACCGAGTTGCGGAGGCGGGTCATTGCCATTTACAAGGGTAAGTTGAGAGTCTTTTCATTATTGTTGTTCGTCTTACTCTGGAAGGGAGCATCGCACTTGTTCAATCGAGCTGTATCACGTAGCCTCGAGGTTGCCCGATGAGACAAGTTGCTGAGATGTTTGACTGCTCTTGTCAACATAACTTGTTGTGAAGACAAAACCTGCGCTTTTCTAAACGTCTGTCGCTGGCGCATCCTTACTCGACGCCAGATACTTGTCGTCCTGAGACTGATGATCCGGTTGAATTTCGTCAAGTCGACTGACCACAGCACGACTAAACCTAGAGCTCTCTCTTTTCTAACACATCTTTTTGCCCCTCGCCCTCTCTCTATTCTATTCACTGCCTCCCTCTACAATATCCGCTCACCTCCCACCCGTCAACAACCAAGACTAGACTCATACTACGGCGACACTCTCAAGATTCGAACTGACAATAGCTGACCATGAAAAAACAGAACTCCTCTACTTGGGCCGAGAATACCCCCTCGGCTACGATTACTTCCGCCCCCGCCTGCACAAGGCGTTTTCCGCGAATGCTGCGCTGCGGGATGAGGAGGCTATTCGAAGGGGGATCGAGAGGGCTGAGTTTGTGAAGAAGGGTACGTTGTCTTCCTGTCTTTCTTTCTTTATGTCTTTCTCTGGGTTTGGGGTTCCCTTTCACCAGTTGGGTGGCGTGTCCTTCGTCCGTGGACAGGGCAAGGTGAGATCTATGGATGCTCGGTTGACATCAGGCTCTATGACCGCGCGTGATCGATTCCAAAGTTGGAGTTGGTTTCGTGGACATTTCGTCTTTGCTTTGGAGCACGCCTCCCCCCTCCTCAACTGACTCCGCTGCATCTCGGTGTTGGTCGTTTCCCAAGTTCTGTCTCCAAGTTGGAGGCGAGTGTGTCTCGTGGTGCACCAGCATGAGTCTCGATATACTATATGCGCCTCAAAGTCCCCAATCTCAGCCATCTAAACCGGATGCCGCTCTCTTCCGGGCGTGGGAAGTGCTCTCCATGAAGTACTTACCGTCTAGTGCGACTACATCTAGTTCTGGGCAACTTTCCTCGTTTGCCCAACTGCGTTTGTTCCATGCTAGACTTTCCAAAGTGGACAACATCGCTTTACTCCCCCAACTCTATCAGAGTCATAACCTTCCATCATTCCCGTCACGCACTCACCCTTTGTATCTCATCCCTCTTTCCTCCCCATTCTATTCTCTCAATAACCGAATGGGAAGCAATAACATCAGACTTAATACCAACGAATAGAACCAAACAGCTGACTTGAATACCTCACAGAAATCGAAGCACTGTAAGTCAGCCCAGTGCCTCTCACCTGCGCTTTCCAAAAAAAGGCCCCCGTCTGCGTCCACGTCCATCCAACTTCGCAACCTCGTCTCCCCAAGTACACATCATCACTTCCATGACAAGTCCCTCTTTATCCTATCAAACACGCCCCAAAACGATATACCTTACCTCGACCCGGGCCTCGGAAAACAAGTGTAACTAAGGCTAGGGGAGAACCCATGTCACTAGTCCTTGAGAGTTTAATGCTCTTCAACGGCACGTACGCCGTTCAACGCGTCCCCCTTTCAAGCCATCCCGCCGTACCTCCCCCTCCCCCTCTCCCTCCAACACCCAAACCGAGCCCTTCCTCAGGCGTATTTCCTTACAAAGCAAGTGCGTTTTGCCAGGCGCGATTCACACGGTCAAAGTCAGTCTTCCATACATCCTCTATCCTCCTTCCTCACCCCCCCTCTCCCCAGAAAATAAAAATAAAAAAACAGAGGGCATGATTCGCTACCGCAGCATGCAACGGGTGACGATGCCACAGTTGGCAAAAACAGAACGCCCAAAAAGAAGAAGAGAAAATTTGCCCTGCCTCTTCACATCCTCAACCTTACTCGAGACCTTGTCTAAGCCCCTGATTCGATCACACTCTACAATGACATACCATCCAAACCACTCTTACCAAGTCGATCCTTGTCCCCCCTCCATCCTCACATCCAACTCACCTCCCACTTCCCTTACCAATGGTCGTACAAGTCAATTCGAGATGTTAATCGACTGGCGATTCCCCTTCACGGCGAGGCAAGTCGCCACCGTCGAGTGCCCGCATGGCTTTCATGTAAAACCCATCACTCTCTTCCGAAAGGTTGCAGTATAGACTTCTCCAGGGCGCCATAATCCCCCTCATTACTCTCCATTCTCAGCATCGTCACTTCAAGGCACACAACACAGCATGAGAAAGCATATTGGGGGGGAGACATAGGTATTGTATAGTAATGGTAAACGATGTGATAGGATATGTAGGTGTATATGTAGATGATGTGGTAGTAGATGACGATGATGATGATGTTGACGATGGGGTATCTCGATGAACTGGATCTCTGACCTTTCCCCCCTATTCCTTCCTTCCTTCCTCCCTTCCCCCTTTCCATCCTTTCCTGCCTTGTCCCTTTTTTCGCCGTCCCTTTTTGTTTCTCTTGTTTCTGGTAAACTGTATTCTGCTCTGTTGTTGACACTGGCGCTTCTTCGCCCTCAGAGTCGCCATGATGCTAATCGCGCAACAGGTATTATCTCAAGCGGTATCGGGCGTTGAGGAAGCGTTACGTCCCAGATGCGTGATGCGGCGAGCGTCTTGGGATGGGTGTAGGCATAGGTCAATGTTGAGGGCCAATCATTCCCATAGAGTCCAATAAACTGTCGCCGCAAAAACACGAATGCAAAAAAAAAAAAAACTCCCTTCTTTTTTCCGTCCTCCATAACTTCGTCATGCGGTCCTTCATCGCTCCCTCTTGCGTGCCCACCATGCACCGACCTCCAGACACTCTCCCCAACTCGTACCGTTCTCCCTCATGAGGTCGTTCATCATCTTGCCTAGCCAGCCGTCCCATTCGTCCTGGCTCTTGCCGCTGACCTCGCGCAAGATCGGCTCCAGGCTCTGGATCTGCTGTACGACGGTCATCAAGGCCGTGCGGCGGAGCGCCGCCTGGGCCTCGGTCAACGTCTTCTTCTGCTCGTCCGGTTTGTCTTTGCCCTTGCCCTTGCCAGAGTTGATGAACGACTTGCCGTCCTTGGTCACGACACCGCCGACGCCCTCGCGCTCCCAGCGAACTTCAGAAAGTGGGATCGCCAGGCGCTTGCTTTGTATGTCAGTCAGCTCCTCGGATTCCTGGATGAGCATAGGACCGATGAGAGTGCAAGGCACGGGACTCAGATTGCGGGACTCGAGTGCACGGTGAACCCAACTGTTGTACTCGACGAGGAAGTTGTTCAGCGGCGCGCTCAAAGGGGTCTTTGCCGAAATGGGATACGCGCCGAGCGAGGCGACGGTGGCTGTGTCTTCGGTGTTGCCAGACTGTGGCGCGGCGTGGGGCCGCAACATGCGGATCTGGTGGTCGCTATCCCAGAATTCCACAGTGCCACCGGGGCGAAGAATGCGATGATATTCTTCAATGGCGTTCTGCAGTGCGTGCGGCGACGTCACAACCAGACTCAGATCCTTGACCATGACCAAGTCGAATTCGCCATCGGCAAAGGGCCACGGAAAGTTGCGAATGTCGTGCTGCATGAATCGCCATTTCATGTCGCGAGATACGTCCCCCGCATGCTGCCCCATTGGGCCAATGTCCATGCCAGTGAAGTGGATATCTGGGTGGCCTCGTTGCGCGAAATACCGGTGACACGACTGACTCCAGAATCCGGAACCGCAGGCGACTTCGAGGACACGACCAGGCGGCTTGCTAGCAAATGCTGTGGAGCAGATTGGCGAGCCAAACAACTGGATGAGCAGCAGTGTGCGCAATGACTGGCGATGGATCTCGCTCAGGTCAACAGGCAAGGGGTATGCTAATGACGGATCTGACAGATATGTGCGGCCATTGCGCAAGCAGTAAGGGCGAGAGGCATCGAACGAGTTTGTCGTGGGGTCGGAGGACGTCATTGTGCGGGTCGACATGGAGGCGGTTGAAGGAGCCGCCGACGAAAGACTGTCGGTACGGGAAAAAGGAATTGCACCGGCCTTGCCGGCAGTGAGATGACGGCCCGATGTGTCCGTGTCGACGAGCATGGCGACATGTTTTAGCTCATTCGGAGTGAGACCGATGTGAGATGGTGTAGGCGGTACAAGCGGGTGTCTCGCGTAGGAGCTTAAGGTGCCGCTTTCCTTGCGAAGGCGCGCCGGCACCCGGATGCGAGTGCGGTCGGCACCAGCGCGTGTCTCTTGTAGCGAGTGGTGATGCTTGTGCTTCTTTGGAGACGCTGGCGAGGTAAGATCGCGCGGGTCGATGGGCGACGCAGTCGAGAGGGTCGTTGACGTGGGTGTGAGTGAGGTCTCGTGCGAGGAGCGTGACGCCGAGGACGATGACGATGTGCGGATGTGCTTGAGACGGGTTGCGGGGTGGTGGTGGTGGTGGTGCTGCTGCTGCTGCTGCTGTCCAAAGTAAGAACTGTTTGATGATGGTTGGCGCGACGGTATGCGCGAAGAATCCGCCGGGTTGGCCTTTGAGAAGAAGGACGAAGAAGAGGAAGACGGGGTAGGTGGTGCGGCGGCGGCGTGGGCGGCAGCGGGGGGTTTTGTTGATGTTGTTGACAGAGTTGTAGAGGCAGATGCAGGAGTAGTAGTGGTGGTAGTGGTGGTAGTAGTATCTGTAGTTGCAGCACTAGCACCAACCGCCGTGTGTGGTTGTTGTTGTTGTTTGCTCTTGTTTGTCAAGGTTGCAGTCGCAGTCTTTGGCCTGGTCGACTCGATGCGAGAAAGAATGGGAGGGACGGGGGCGAAGCTGGTGTACATGTATTGGGACATGTTTGCAGAATCTTCCGCATCCACGAGTGCTTCGTCAGGAGGAGCGGCGGATTTCTGGGGCCCTTGGGCTTGGGACCCGGTTGTGCGTGTGGTTGTGGCTCTGGTCAGTTGGGTCAGTCGGGTCCTCTCTTCGTGTCTTGGATCCTCATGTCTGCCCTGCCCTCTCTGGGGCCGGGAGGACGACAATGAGACCCAACTCGCAGGTGGGAGCTCCAGCTCCAATGGACGGGGGGGAGGGGGCAGAGGGGTGGAGGGGGGTTGTTTGGGGATCCGCAAACTGTGTGTGGATTGTGGGAGAGAGATAGAGAGACGAGACTTTTTGGGAGTGGGAGCAGTGGAAAGGAGGCACAGAGACTGAGAGTGAGAGAGTCGGGGTACTCCGTAGGACGTAGGAGGAGGGGATTGGCGGCTGATTGTGCTTGCTTGCTCGTTTGCCTTGCAGCAGCAGCAAGCAGCAGCAGCTTGCTTGCTTTCCTGGGTTTGGGTCTTTGGGGGTGTGTTGAATTCAGTTCGGTTCCATTCCAGTTTCTGTTGCGACCTTGCAGCAGCTGGGGGGGAGATGATGGTGGATGTGATGTACCTGGTGGAAAGGGGGGAAGATCATGGATTGGAGGGGAGGGGGAGGGGTGTGTGAGCGTGTGTATGTGTCTGTCTGTACACTATGAGTGTATCTGTCCGGTGGAGGGGAAGAGAAGCACCCGGGTGGGAAAGGAAGCGGAAGGGAACGGGGGAGGGGGGGGGGGGGGGGGGGGTGTGGGGGGGGGGGGGGGGGGGGTGGGGGGGGGGGGGGGGGGGGGGGGGGGGGGGGGGGGGGGGGGGGGGGGGGGGGGGGGGGGGGGGGGGGGGGGGGGGGGGGGGGGGGAGGGGGAGGAGGGAGAAACCAGGAAGGATATGTTTTTCTTTAATTTGGCATCGCCTCAAAGAGTCAATAGAACCGCCATGTACTTACAGAACGGTCGGTATTTTCGAGAGCAAAGAAACCAAGACGGATAGTCCTCGTGGCTCTGGTGGTGGCACAAGCAACACACTATCCATGGACTATTCCGTTACGGATACACTACCCGTACTCTCTTTCTCTCTCTCTCTCTCTCTCCCATGACTCTCGCTCAGTCTTGTTTTTCTCTCTTTGCTCTGTCTGCCTGTCTGTCTGTACACTTCAGATGCTCCGTAACGATACACCGTAAAGATACTCTCGACATACATAGCAGATGCAGAGTGACAGACAAAACCAAAAGAACAAGGGTGCATGACTTAGCGTACTGGTCTGTACGTACCTTGCAGCAACACCAGCAGGGAGCCCCGGGGATGGGGTCAAGTACTGTATGTAGGAACAGGCAGGTAAAGTTGAGTTGGGCAAGGTACACACTGACACCCGGCCGCGGCGAGGCCCAGGGGTAGTGGGGGGTGGGGGGAAGAGAAATTGGAAAATGAGGGAAAATGGGAAAATGGAACGTGGGAATGGATAACGGAGATGGATGAGGAAGAGGAAGAGGAAGAGAGGGGGACCAAAGAGCAAGTCGGATTCTCTTCCGCGGTTCCAACTCCAGTTAAACAGGAAGAAAATAAAGAAAAAAGAGTCCGTCAGGATGCAATGTATCCGTACCGATTCAGCATCCAGGAACCAGACGCAGACGGACCAAATAGACGAGCGACTTGCCGCGTTCCTTGGTCCTTGGACATTATTTCTCAGTCTCTCTCAGTGCTCTCTCTCATACACTCTCTCTTCATCTCACACTCTCTCTGGCGCGACTACAAAGCGAAATACAGAGAGCAATGACGATGTGAGAGACAAAGAGAACCAAACTCGGACGTTGCACTAGCGCTTGCGTCGCGTCTGCTTCTTTTCCTTGGCCGTCTTCTTCGTCTTCGTCTGCCCGCTTCACACACACACACACACACACACACATACCGGGCGGGAACCATCTAGAGAACAGAAAGAAATGGAAAAAAAAACAAGATGAGGGGACAAACTCACCACACGCACCACACAAACACCCACGCTGACCAGACGTAACTGGCTGCTGGAGCTTGCTGGGGAACCGAACGGGGTCCACCACAGGTTCGTTTGGCCGCCTTGTACCTTGCAGCAGCACCTTGCGTCGCTCGCTCGCCGTACGGAGGAGTGGGCGAGGTACTTTGGTTGTCTGCAGGTACCACGTCGCAGTCGCTGCCGTCGCAATAGCAGGGCGCCCAAGTGTCTCCCGTCCTTGGTCCGTTGCCAATGGAACCAAAGAAAGGACACAGAGCAGTCAGTGTACAGAACCTATCCTGTTCTGACTGGGCGGCGGTCCTGGCGCTCCCGGCTTCGGTGACGGGAAGGGAAGGGAAGCACTGGACGCTAGTTGGATGCTGCTTACTGGCGGTTGTTAGTTGCTGAATGCTTCTTGGCCTGCTTGCCTTGTCGTCGGCGCGCTCTCGTTGGTTGTCTGCCACTTGTAGAGTGGTGCGCTGCTAGCTAATAACGTGCTAACCAATGCTGATGAGCTAGCACACACAAGCCCACGAAGGTTTGTACTCCCGCCCGGCGCCGCGTCTCAAGTCGGCCCAGCTTGACAAGACTAGACACCAAGATGGGGTAGCTTCGCAGAGCTAGACCTCGGGCTATCTGATAAGCAAAAGTACGCGAGAACGGGAGCTCGTGTAGGTATGCCGGCACTGTCGCTTTACTATTCCGTGTGCCTTTTGATTATCGCGCAGGAACAACTCGGAGTTTGGGAGAGGTCTTTGCGCGGCAAACAACCCAGACTCGGGAATGTGGCCAGCCAGCAAGCGAGTAAGCAAGGCGAGGCAGCGCAGGGCAGACGCCGTCGACAGGCCTGTTGGGTATCCGCAACGGCAGGGGAAACCCGTTTGGACGGTACCAACGTTCCCCGGCCAGGGCAATCGAGGTAATAGCAAGGGCAATGCCTTTCTCTGGTCTCTAATTGGCCAGTGTCGTTCGTCTACTGTTGTGTGGGATTGTTGTTTGTGACCCCCCGACAAGGTGATCCACGTCGGAGGCTTCACCTCTGCGCCGCGTAGCCTGTGTCGGTGCGCCGTCCGTCTTGCCAATCGCAGTGCCAACCAAGACTAGCCTTATTCTGCCAGTGTCCGATTCCTCAATAACCCCGATGGATGACGGCACTTTGCACGTATCTGTCTGTGCCTGGCGTTCGTTGGATTTGCTTGGTTTGTTGTGGTGGTGTTTGTGCCTGTGTCGTCAAAGCTTCCCACTTGTTTCCCAAGCGGACTCGTCACTATTACTCCACGAATTTCCTCTTCAGCTTGCTAGCTCCGGCGTGACAGGAGCCACTAGGGCGGCAAGACTGGGGTTCGGTGAGAGCAATAACTAACACCAAGCCAGCACTTGAGCAGCTCGAAACTTGGTTTGTTGGTCGACTGTCGCCCACGATGGCGTCAATGTCAAGGACGCAATGGATGGTTTCCCTGCTCTTTTCTCTCACGCCGACCACTCGGCGGCAATCCAGCAGCTGTTGAAGAACGAGTGTGGCTGCTCAAGTGGGCTTTTCCCACCCACCAACTTCCAAGGGGACGAGGCCAGCAAACGCCTCGCTCAGCCCCCGATCCAGCTCGTCGGGACGCCCGGTGCTGTAATTCTCCAACCCAAGCCCACTCAATTGTGTTTCTTTTCCCAGAGCTTCTTTGTTCGTGGGGCACTTGGTGCACTTGGCCCAACTCTGGCCCTGCCGTTCTTTTGTTCCAATGTCTCTGTCTCAAACTTCGGCTCTGTGCCGCCGGGTCTGCCTCTTTCGCACTTGAGACTCGATGACGGACTAGTCCAAGGCTTGACAGACAGATGGGAAAGCAGGTCCGACAATAACAGAGTCGGCCGGTCTGTGAAGTCAGTGGCCCTGGTTGATTTGTTGCTTGTCCTTTGCCGTTGACCCTTGCTGCGGTAAGCCAAGGATCTGAGAGACGCCTGCAAGTGCAAAAACCCCTTACTACGAGGAGCAGAACGGTGAAGGGGCTCAAGAGAGGGCACCGGTAACCAGGCCCCCGGTAGAGTGCAGTCAATCTATCGTATCCGTACGGTTGGCAGAAGACTGAAAGCTGAATGAAGGCGTGAACCTTGAATTTTCAAGCCAAGGTGATTTCTGACCGGCGAGGACGTGCGGGCCCTCGGTGACCAGCAAGACGAAAAAAACAAGACGCTAGCCCCTGTTTTTTGACGTATGGGTGCTTTGTGTCGAGTGTTGATCCTCTTGGTAATGGAGTGGACCGGGCCGCGCTGATTTCGGGTAGGTAATGGAGACTTGCTGGATAATCGCTCCTCTTTGCTCGAGTGTGTGCCCTTAGTCAGGCTATGTCTGGTAATCACGTATCCGTACTCCTTACGAGTAGAGTACGCAAAAACGGTACTTGGTAGGTATCAAAATCGTGGTGGCCACAGTTTGCGTCACTAGAATATGGCTGTTGCTGCCCGCTTCGCCGAGGATTCGGCGATTTGGCCCAAATATCTCGACAGTGTCCCGGCCGGATAGAGGATACCTCGTCCTGTTGGAGGAGCTCAGAAGGCACGCAAGAGTCAAGTACGCCGGAGCTTGCCCCGTCCTTCTAGAACCTGGACCAGGTTCTTTCTGAAATCTTGAGACGGCGGGATACCGGCCGCTTGTTCCCCGGTGGGGACGGGACTGGGGTCGCTGGAATGACGGATAACTGACGGGCCCTGGTTGGCTGGCTTGGAAATGCGCTTGAGTTGGATGGGAAATCGACCGAGCTGAACAAGAGTCGTGTTTGCCTCGTTGTCGCCTTGCCCCAAGGACCAACGCAGTGGCCGTTATTGAAAGAGAGGGCCAATGACCGCTGAAGGACGCGATAGGACAATGCTGGTGGAATTAGATGTTGTGTCGCCTCGTTTCCGTCCGTTTGTTGTCAAGCTTCCGGCCGGTCTTTCCTCGCGGTAAATCCAGCAGAGGGTGCCCGTACGGTCAAGGTCCGGGCCCTTGTCTGAGCGACTGTAATGAGCCGGATCCCTTGTTTGGTGTTCCGTCGCTTCGCCCCGTCTCGCCTCGTCTCGGTTCCCGCAGACAAATGTCACCGAGGGGATAGATGGATCAAATTTCACCGCGGCGTCTTGTCGGCGATGGCCTGTGTTGGTTACGTACGTATATCGAATCCTGTCGAATGGCTGCAAGGTCTATTTTGCCGTGCCGCCTGTCTTGTTTCGTCCCGTTCCGTGCGTGCAAGCTGACTCTGTCACTTGTGATTTGCGTAGCCACTGACTGGTGTTGTTTCCAGCTGGCAGTGCCACCCCGTGGCCCGTTGCTGATCCGAACTGGTCAGTGGTGTGCGCTTTTTCGTCGCGTGCCACAACGACGGAACGGTGCTATTATAAGACGACGGGCGATTGGTGATGACTAGCTGGGAGTCTGAGTCTGGCCAAGGGATCAAAAGCAGAATCTCGTGCTTGTCGGAGATAATGACGTTCCCCTCGATATGTCTTCTGGGGGAGAGTTCTAGAGCGTGGGGGGACCTTCCCTTCGTAGCCAGCTGGGCGACTTGTCTGCAGCAGATTGCTAGATTCCGCAGCAGCTGTCAATGGTGCGGTGCAGGCTGTCTGTCGCGTGTGTTGCGTCCTGCCTGTTGGGGTGCAGTGCCGATAGCGTAACGTGGTAGTGGGTGCGGCCTCGTTGCAACTTGTCCCCGTCCCGGTCGGTGGATTCCGCCCAGCACCGGCAACAGAATCCTCTGAACCTTGTTTTGCAGAATAGGTGTCTGGCGAGAAGATCGGCGGTTCAGAGGGAGAAACGAAGCAACGTGAATGAATTGTGACGAATGTTTCCGCTGGGTTTCCAGGCAGATTCTCCCCTTTGGGCTCACAAGCCTCCCGAACATGTACTGGGGGTTTGGTATGAAGGCAGGGCCAAGCTAGTTCAGGTCGATCGGGGCTTCTCCGAGAGTGCAGAGTCAAATTCGATGGGCGAATACTCGCACAGATGGCAAGTACTACTCCGTACGGAGGGGTAGGTTGCCAGCGTCGAGGCAGAATGATTGACTCAATTGAGTATCCGTATAGAGTCGCAGCCGTTGGGCCGTAGCGCTAATCCGCAGCTTGATGCCTGGTGTAATTGGGATCGCTGTCGTTCATCCGCAAAAGAAGATCAAACGAATTATGGATACCCGGTCGAGCGGTAGAGTCAGATCGTCGCCGTGTCTCAATTATCACATGAATGATGAAGACACTATCCCGACTGCCAGACTCCCAAGGCGGTGGGTGACGAAGACTGAGGACGGAAGTTTGCCCGTGTATTCGGAGGCTGTACGAAAAGAGCCAAGCAAGTAAATCAAATGCCGCGTCTGTTGCTCCAAACGGGATGGGTTGCCAAAGTCGGAGGATGGTATCTTCAGCGGCGGGTGAGCGATTTCGGCGCCCGAGACAGCATGCAGCCGCAGTGCAGAAGCCAGAACCCCAGGAATCGGAGTCTAGGTACCGGCAGGTGTGCCTGATCCGCTGGATGGCCGGTCGAGGTGAGGGAATTGCGCACACCGCGACTTTCGACTTTTAGCTTGGTTGCGAAGCCGAGAGAGGGGTTGGTGAATGTGCCGTTTCTCTCCCGCGAAATGTTCAACAGACAGCCTTTGGATGATGTGAGGTTGAAATGACGAAGTTGCAGCTTGGAAACACATCGAAGCTTTGCCGTCCAAAGTGTCAGGGGCGCAGGTACACAATGCCTGAAGCGTGGAAAGTGCAGGTCCAGCAGGTCTTTCCTCCGTCAACTCGGGGGCTCCTGCCAAGAATCGCCGTGTTAGTTGCCGTGTTCAAATGGGCAGGAAGCACCTGTCGGACGGAAGTTGCGACTCACCAGATTACCTAAGACAGGCAATATGCTCTCAACCTAAGGTTCTGTTCCTCCTGGTTGGATTGACTTCTTCTTCTTCTTCTTCTTCTTCTTTCTCAAGACACCAAGTCTTGTCGTCTGATGATCCAGCAGCAGTCGCTGGCCGACAGATGCAAGTCTGGCGTTTGTATGGTGCACTCGTGGAGAGAAGAGCTGACAGGTTATCTATATAATACAACCTAAACCGGACAAACGGCACACGATCCATCCAATTCCTCAAGCAGAGTACCTAGCAGACCCAGCACATCAAATTCCCCCGATGTCCGAAAAAAGGAAGCTCCAAGTCAAAAGCCCGGAGCAAGCCTATCAATCGGGGACCTCGATGATTCGTTTCTCCGCCGTGGTCCCGTGGCCATGTCCGATGCCTACATGACATACGCAGTAGAGGGGGGAGGGGCTCAGAAGTTGCGAACTTGCCCGCACATATTTGCACTTGCAGCTGCATGTTGCATGTCGCATATTGCAAGGGCCCTTTTCTCTGCTCCCAGCTCCGTACGCGCCCGCCACCAATTCCCAATTCGGGCCTTGGCCGCCGTTCGGCACTGCCAGCCTGGTCTTATAGCAGCTCTCTCATTCCCATCGTTCGTGTGCAGGCCTTGCAGCAGCCAATCTTTCAAAGTCTTGGATAGGCAGCCGTTGGCCTCGACCCGGAGCTTTGCCCACCATCTGAGTATTGCGTGCCGTTGAGGACGCGTATGGGCGGAAGTGACAAGTGGGATACCGACTGTACTGCATGTCTGGCACCATGGCATGTGCTTCGTTGCCGTTTCGGTCTATGAGATGTTGGGATGAACACCAACGAGGGGCTACAAGAACTCCCACCCTTGGTCTATCAACTTCAACCCATGCTGACTTTGGTCTTTCAGCGGTCTTGCCCCGTATCTGTGCACTCCTTCGAATTTGAGAATGTCGCGATAACTCAGATAAGACGTTGTGGAGTCTAGAATGGCGTCAGAAGAGAACAAGACCAAGATAACGAAACCGACCCGGACCGCACTTCCCCCGCATCCCACCGACCCTGGTCACTGAGTGGCTGGCTAAGATATTCGACAACACCCAGCATGGACTAGTAAGCCCTCAGTGGCCATGTTCGAGACGGCTGACGAGGGCAAGGCGCTGAAGGCAGAAGGCATCCCATCCTGGTTGTCGAGTCTAGGCGTGTCCATGAGTCGCCAGCTGGTCTGAGCCGAGGCTCATGGGAACCAGCTCTCTCGCCACTATCTTCGCGCTTTCAGTCTCCGTCTGTCGCATTTTGATAATGACAAGGTCGACTGGCCGCCGTCGAACATGGACAGGCGATCAAGGTCCAGGACTTACCACCATTGAGATGAGCATCTAGCTTGTTATATCCGGTATCTGGCCGCTTTCCCCGGGCAGTTGTCCCGACTTTCCGGTTTGCCTCCGCGGCCGCTTTTCAACGCCCTGTTGATCCTATGGTTTACCCCGGATTATCGCAGCACGTTGTATGATATGTGATGGCGCTCTGAACCAAAGATACCAGTTCCCTGGAACTTGATTTTCGAGGGCACCCAATGGGGGAATCGTTTATTGCTCCGGCTTGGCCCTGCGGCACAGATGACAGGCTGACATCAAGGTTGAAGACGGAATCGGGGTCTGGCAAGGTGCCCGCGGGGAAAGCGGCTCGGGATGGCATGTTGGTCGCCCGGGGTCGAGGTCTCATAAAGTTATAGAGACCCTGCTGGCCTGCCACTCTCTTTTTTTTCCACCCATTTCTCAAGGGCAAATTGTCGCGAGACCTTGATATTACTTTGTTCTTTCCGATCTCGGCTCTTTGGACTTTACCAAAAAAAAACTATACCCAAACACCGACGAATGTCTGCTTGTGCTAGATCAGGGCATTGTATCGTTCATCGGCTGCGGGATCGAAGACTCACTAGGGCAAGGAGCGTTGGACAAGATCAGCACCAGACAGACAAAAGAAACCCAACGACCGGAAGTAGTGTATTACAACATTTGAGGGAGATGTAAGGAAGAACTAAGTAAGAGATGAAGAGTGTTGACGCTACGCCAAGCTGACGTCGCTCAACCTCTCACAAGACCCTAATCCTGATCCCTTATATATGATGTTGCCGTAGAACATGAAGCCTATACTGCGCCAGTGCTTAATTTGTGGCTAGTCTTGGTGAAAGAAAAGTCTGATCCTGTACTCTGGTCCGTGAATATAGTTCAGGAAGTTTTGATGTGCCCAGATTGCTTGATCCCCTCGTGATTTTCATGGGTTCCAATCGCACCTCTCGTGGTCTCAACTCAAGCATCGAGGCGAATGTTGCACTGGGAAGACGAAGAGCCGAAGGAATCAGCACAACGTCCTTAATGTTTGTAAGAGGACGTCAATGGCCGATGAAATCCTATTGCAAAGGCAATAAAACCCTTCGTGAAACACGTTCTCGTTTGGAAATCTGATGTGCCAAAACACACCTAACTCCAGCCGATATTACCCGCATTCTAATTACTGATTTAAGTTCCCCCAAACAGTTGTACAATACAAGCTGGCGTCATCACTCCCTTCATGAGCTCTTCATGGTCCATGTTGACAAACTTGCTTAGATCCCCAAAGTTTACTGTTTGTGCCGACAAGGCGAGCGATGTACACTCTACGACAGCTCATACATCCTCCTTGAGTCTAATCATAAAAAGATTCACAGAATCTCAATATAATCGAATTGTGTCAAACTTTTTGCGGGTAAGGATTTTGATCTTACGTGAGAGCTCTCCTAGATATTTGACTCCTGAAAAGTATCGGGGCTTTGAATGTCAATTTCTCCAAAAAGAAGTTAATAGAGTTGGTGAAAAATTTCCTTTGGCAACATCATACTATGAAACCTTCCATCATGCCATATCAAGAGTCGCTTTGCACTCGTTCTGGTTCCCAACGTGACATATGAGCCTCAATAACCCATTTGATGAACCAGTGACGGAGTATTCCCCAGAGCCATTAGACACGCCCACAGTCAAATGGCCCCAATCGGTATTATTTTTGATTTGGCGACTACAGGTCAGTAAGTCTTGTATCTCCTCCACCGCATTCGTCACAACACGCCACAAGTCACACCACCTGAACTCAACGGTATAAGGTAGTACCTGACCTATCTCACCACCCTCCCTCCTCCACCTTACCTCAGTTACTTCTGACGCTTAGCTAAGGAAGTGTACGTACTGATGACTCAGCGTCACGAGTGCGGTCACGTTTGACTTGGGTGGAGCTCTTCCGTCTAGCTGCTGGTCTGTGCAGCTCTCCTCATCACGTGACGACACCAGAGCTCGCAACCTCGCGGGCCTGGTGCCCAGTGTCTGCTCTATCGTCAAGATCGAGTCAATTCCACCACCACCTGGCTCTATCTTTGGACCCTCTGCATCTCCGACCGCATTCTTCAGTCCCAGTATCCATTGGTTGCTCTAGAGATATTGCCAGAAACACATCGCGCCCGCTCACTACGGTATGTCATCAACCCATTCCCCGCCCTTGAAGGTTACCAGGGGGGGCACTGCTCGAGCCGAGCCTTTGTCGCAACGACGCGGCCCAGCCCCTACTCCGTTATCCGACTCCTGCTCCTGGGCCTTGCTTCAGTCCCGTGTCTTACTCTTCCAAGCTCGCTCTGCTGACGAGACACGTTCTCATCTAGACCCTCTTGTGCCGCATCCAGCGCGTCTCGACACCATTGACCAGCTTTTTGCCTCCCACGTACGCTCTCCCCATCGGGCGAGCTCGCTCGACTCGACTCGCCGTCTAGCTTAATCTCAAACCCCTCCCTTCCTGACAGACAACATCACCAGACCGACTAAAAATCAACACCACCCTTAAACTCTCCACGCACGCAAACGACACACACACACACACGCAAGCTTCCACCCACCCTCACATCATCGACGTGGTTCATGGGCGGCCGAGGACAGCATAATACATTGCGGTAATCGGAAGCTCCATTGCCTGAGCCGATACTCGATGCAGCTGGACCCGTACCTCGACTCCCATGCGCAAACGCGAGCTGCCCTGGCTTTCCCTCGTTTCCAATCTCACATAAGCTGTTGCTGCGAACCCATTGCCTCGTTCACCACGGCTGCATCGTAATCGAGGCACCCCCAAAACCAACCCCACCCGCGAATCTCAGGTAGATGGCCGATGGTACTCGCTATCTGGACCACCCTGTCGGAGATCTCTACCTCAACTCTCTCATACCGAAAGAAACCGCCGCCGACGCCATACTCTTGAACACGCTCCTGCGCCAATTCTCCGCCAAAGACTCGAATACACCTACACCGTCCAATCCGATCCCACGGGCCAATCTGCTAGGGATGTTCTCTCAGAATCACCAGCAGGGCCCCAACTCCCGCATCAATGGGGGCCACGGCGGCCGGGGCATCCCAATGCTGTACAACTACCAACAGCAGCAACAGCAACACCACCAGACTCACCTCCAGCACCACCAAGCTGCCCAGGCCGAACATGCTGCGCACAATGGCAATGGAGGCGTAATGGGCCACCACTCGGCCTTCTCCTCCGGCGTCATGGGGAATTCTAGCCCGTACAGCAGCAATGCTATGCAAAACGGGCAAGGAGGAGCCACGCGAGGAGGACAAGCACAACAAATCACTGAACATTGGGCGGAGCAGCTCCGACTCTACGAGGAGTCCAAGCAAGCCCACCGTGCCATGACCGAACAGAACCAGCCGCACTACTACGCCAGACTAAAGGCTTCAGAGAACCGTGGCATTGCCGGGCCTCCGCCATCTTCGGGCAAGAACGGCGACGACGATGCGGACGATAGGAGACGACCATATAGCGTAGAGAAGAATAAGGAACGGCAGAACTGGCACAACATGGACCTCAGCGGCCAGGGACTGCGTAATCTCGCACCCGCTCTTTTCCGCTACCAGTTCCTCCACGACCTCTTCATCGCCTCCAACAGGCTTCAGAGTCTCCCTCCCGCGATCGGCCAGTTGCGCCAGCTCCGTTACCTCAACATGTCGTTCAACCAGATCAAGATTCTCCCCCCAGAACTCGGCATGTGCACCTACCTCAACCAGCTACTCCTCTTCGACAATCAAATCCAGACACTCCCCTTCGAGCTCGGCTCTCTACACTTGCTCGACGTTCTCGGCATCGAGGGCAACCCCATCGACCCGGACATGAAACAGGAAATCATGGAGAAGGGCACCAAGAGCCTGATCAACCTCCTCAAGGAGCAAGCCCCTAGTATGTACAATCAGTCATGTCTCATGCTGCCAACAATCACTAATCTTCGTTTTAGTTCCGATGCCGCCCAACCCGAGAAAGCTCATTACTGTACAAGAAGATGTTTCGCCTACTTTGGAAAAGGTCAGAGTCTTTTCTTGGAACGTCTTGTGCGACAAGTACGCGACACCGCAAACGTACGGATACACGCCCACGGGCGCATTGAACTGGGAATACCGGAAGGACTGCATTTTCAGCGAAATGAGAGAGAAGGACGCGGATCTGCTGTGCCTGCAGGAGATTTCGACGGAGGCGTTCAAGGAAGAGTTCAGCCCGGAACTGGCACAGATGGATTACAAGGGTGTGCACTGGCCCAAGACTCGCGCGAAGACCATGGCGGAGAAGGATGCACAGGGTGTGGATGGTTGCGCCACTTTCTACAAGGCCAGCAAGTGGATCTTGCTCGACAAGCAGGTCATCGAATTCGCCGCCATCGCCATCAACCGGCCGGACATGAAGAATCAACACGACGTCTTCAACCGTGTTATGCCAAAGGACAACATCGCCGTTGTGGTATTCCTCGAAAGCCGAGCTACCGGCGCACGCATCATCCTAGTCAACGGACATTTGGCCTGGGAGTCTGTGTTGGCGGACGTCAAGTTGATCCAAACGGGTATCTTGATGGAGCAAGTCACAAAGTTCGCCGAGAAGTACGTTCGCTGGCCAGCACTCAAGGACAAGAAGCCCATCGTCTTCTCTGCTACTGGCAAAGACGGCGATGAGCCAGCGCCGCCGCCGGCTAAGGAACCGGGGCCCAGCCAAGAGTATCGCAACAATACCGACATTCCCCTCCTCGTGTGCGGTGACTTCAACTCAACCGGAGACAGCTCGGTCTACGAGCTATTGTCTATGGGACGCGTTCCTCCCAATCACCAAGAGCTGTCATCCTTCCAGTATGGTAGCTTCACGAGGGACGGTATTGAGCACCCTTTCAGCTTGCGGGATGCCTATGCCCACATCAAGAACACCCCCGACGAGATGCCCTTCACCAACTACACGCCTGGCTTCTCAGATGTCATTGATTATCTGTGGTATTCCACCAACACATTGGAAGTGGTGGATCTGCTTGGCCCGCCCGATCCCGAATACCTCAAGCGGATGCCGGCGTTCCCCAACTACCACTTCCCGGCCGACCACATTCAGATTATGGCCGAGTTTGTCATCAAAGCTAGAAAGGATAAGAAATCGCCGCACCCGGAACCGGATTTTGGATCAGGAAGCGGGCAAGGCCGGTAGACGGGGGCGTCTGACGACTTGTTTCCAGTAGTTTAGTCTTGAAAGGCAGTCGCGCGTTTACGTTCAGGGAAATTCTTTTGCCGGAGTTTAGGATTGCGATGCTTTTCGCGAATCGGAGGAACTGGCGGGGGGATGGTCTTTTGGCGAGGGAGGCGAAAGTTCATGAGATGACAGCAAACACAAAACAACCTCAGAGAAACGGAAGGAAACATGGTGGCAGGGGGGCTTTGGGGCGGTTCTTCATCGTCGGAAATGCATCGTCAGGGGCTGTGAATACGGCGGGGTGGAAGGGGTGAGGCTTTTGTAGATGGGCGGGTTGTGGCACATATCACCAACCAGCTGCGTTTTCTCTTGCGTTCAAACATTTGTGCCTTTGTGGTGTCCAACGTGAAGTGGTGAACTGTGCCCTCGCCCCTGGTGCGATTCTGGCGCTGCTGATGAACCTTCAAGAGAGGGTGAGATGAGACTACCGGGTGGGTGGGATCTTGGCAAGGGCTCATGTTGCACGTCTCTCCGATCGGATCTGGCCGAATGGCTAGGTATGTCTTGCGGCGTCTGTCATATCGACTGTAGATTCTTTCTCGCTGCATCTCGACCCTTTTCTCTGTTTATCAAGGCCTCAAGGCCACAAGACGAACGGCATTGATGCTTATCACCGAACAAAGTACTCACTCACTCTCTCACTCACTTGTCGGTGTCACCTGCTTTTCAGACTGTTCATGTGTGATGTCTCGATTTCATCCCATCTTCTCAGCTGTGGTGGCCTCTATTTTCTTACTTAAAGTCATCTACACCTCACGGACTTGCGCCTTTCTCACACGCCTTAAGCTCATGCCAATACTTGCTCGTTCTCGCATCTTCGGGCCGTCGACCCATATCAGCTACTGACATCGGGAGACGGAAAGCTTACAAGGTGTCGTAAAGATAAGTGCAAGCTTGAAGTACCTAGGTTCCAGGCAAGTGAGTGAGTGAGTGAAGTATCGAAGCTTGTGCTGCTCCCCCTCACCTCCCCACCTTTCTGGCAAGTCTGGGATCGCTGTCAAGGGGACCTTGGATCTAGTGCTGACGGCTTGCTAGAGTTTGGCTAGCTGTCAAAGGTACAAAGGAGTTCGGCAGCACCTCTCAGTGAGATCAGTAATTGCCCTTTTTTGTCTTTCCAATCGACACGGCTACGCCATTATACGGGGAACTTTGACTCATTGGCCTTTTAAGGTCGAATCGACTATTGAGGTTCAACTGGGTAAGATCCGAATGCGCGATGCAGGAGACACGTTGGTTTCCCGGGTTCGAGGTTCCCACCCTGGCAGGAAATGAGAAGCCCCAAGTGCTTATATCAGATCTGATGGGATTTCGCTGACGACAGTCATTTCTCTAGACCGTTTCAGCCGGCTTATTCTCGACGACGATCTATCGGGACGCGTGTTGATAAAGATAAAGTCAGGACGGCGCCCAAAATCCCGTTTCTGTGAATTCTTTCATCAGCCTCTTCGAAAATTTCATCATCATCGACCATCCCGTCATTGAAATCTCACGTATCAGACGCAAGATACGACCCAAATGGCCTCAGAAACCTACCTCGTAACAGGCGGCTGCGGCTTCCTGGGCAGCCACATCGTCGAGAAGCTCCTAGCCGCCTACCCGACCGCCCGCATCGCCGTCTTCTCGCGCAACCCGACGACAAACACCTTTCCCGGCGTCACGTACCACGCCGGCGACATTGCCTCCCTCGACGACGTCGCCAGGGTCTTTCGGGAGGTGAAGCCGACGGTGGTGTTCCACTGCGCGGGGATGATGACGGTCGGGCGAAAAGTCATGACGGACGCGTTTGTGAGGGCGATCAACGTTGACGGGACGAGGCATGTGCTGGATGAGGCTAAGAGGGCGGGCGTGAAGGCGTTTGTGACGACGAGTAGTGCTAGTGTCGTGCAGAAGGAGATGTTTAGGGATATTGAGGGGGGCGATGAGAGTTTGCCTATTGCTGAGGAGGGGGATGACACGCTGGCTTATCCCAAGACGAAGGTGTGCCAACGTAGTGTGTGTTTTTCTGGGCGGACTTCTTTAATGACAAGCTTGATAGGCCGCCTCGGACAAGATGACTCTGGAATACGACGACCCAACCGGCATGCGAACCTGCACCCTCCGCCCCGCCGCCGTCCACGGCGAACGCGACAACGACATCACCCCGGCCATCCTCCGCAACCTCCGCCTCGGCCGGAACAAGATGCAAATCGGCACCAACAAGAACCTCTTCAGCACAACCTACGCAGGGAACGCCGCGGACGCGCACCTCGCGGCAGCCTCGAAGCTTCTTGACGCGCCAGAGGGCGTCGCGGGCGAAGCCTTCTTCATCACCAACGGCGAGCCCGTGCCCTTTTGGGACTTCAGCAGGGCTGTGTGGCGGGCTGCCGGGGACGAGACGAAGGTTGAGGATGTGAGGGTTATCAATATGACGTTTGCGCTAGCGTATGTGTGGGCGCTGGAGTGGGTTTATTGGTTCAGGGGCGAGGTGCCGCCCTTGACGAGGCAGGTTGTTCGGTTCTCGGGGATGAGTAGGTGGTATGTCATTGATAAGGCTAAAGAGAGGCTGGGGTGGAAGCCGGAGGTTAGTCAGGAGGAGGGGATACGGAGGGCTGTTGAGTGGTGGCTTGAGAAGGAGAAGAGGGAGGCGGCTGGGGGAGGGCAGTGAGTTTGATGTGTGAGGGCGAAGGTGGTAGTATCTCACGAGCATCTCTGGACACCGTTGTTGTGAAGGATGCATGGTAGGATACTTGGCACCGTGGTGTTGATCCTAGGTTGGTATTCGGTGTTTCTTAGACTGTTTCCCATCAACTTCTATGTCGGATCCATCACTTTATGCTACTTTCTAGTAAGCCGCAGCACAGCCAGAGGGTAATCCCCGCCACATGAAGGGCAGAACGATGTTGCATTCATCTCTGTCACGGACATTTGCTCATTACTGTGCTTATCAACGAAGACCGCTGTCAAGACATTGGTCACAAATGGAATTGGAATGATAGCCGAATTGGAACACAAGTGACTGCGCAATTTTCACCACCTGAACCTCCCCCTCGACAAACCCACCCTTGCCTTGCCAAGCTCTTTGAAACGCAGTCACCGGGCGTCTTGTAGAGTGTCGCTCGGGTCCTGGGTCTAGCATGGAGTGCGCGAAGTCTCGGACCCGATTCACTAAACTACCTTCCGCGTGATCAGCGCTGTATCTGGCGTGGCAGTGGTCTCGCAGGGCTCGTCACGGGTGTCAAGTCCTAAACATTGAACGTTAGAGATCTGTCTGAATTGTCTGTTGGATCACAATGAGGACTTACCCTATGGGCGCTCCCGACTCGAGACACATTGTCCTCTTCCTCGTCATTAGAATCCGAGTCTTCATGGTGCTCTCCGTTGCCGATTGGCTGCGTGTTCAGCCAAGTTACCACTTGAAAAGCCGCCTGGGCATCCCCGGCCTCTTGATAATAGCGATGAAGAAGGGCTCCCGTCTCCCGTGTACGGGGGTGGTCTCGACCGAGGTGTTTGGTCTCAACCTGCATGACCTCATTCATCAATACAGCCGCTTGAGGTGCGGCGTTAACAGCGCTTAACACTGAAGCGAGCTCCTTCTTGTTTTCCAGGGTTCCTTGGCTCTCTTCGCCCGGGTCCTCGATTTGTCTTTGTAGTAGTTTCTCATGGACTTGGATTGCCTGAGGGAACATCCCTAGTTTGGCGAGATCCATGGCCAACAGGAGCTGCGTCTGGTGGGTTCTGACATCTCCCTCACCAAATGCGCCTTCCTGATCCTTGAGAAGGTCCTGCCGAAGGTTGATAGCCTTCAGTATAGAATCTTCTCTGCCTTGTCGTGAGAGGAAAGTCGAAGCGTAACTTCTGATCGAGAATATGGCATCCAAGTCTTCCATGACTTTTGCCTCTTCCAGTCCATCTTCCAGACGACTGTAAGCTTCTTGGATATCGCCTACTCTCCACAATGCATCCGCGACGTTAGCGACGGATACAAGATAGACGTCAGTCGCAACAGCGTCGTTGAACACCTTTTCGTTGCGCATGGCCAGGACATCTTCCTGCTCAGCGAGAGCCTCCTCAAATCTAGAAGCAGCAGTGTAGCTGTGACCCAAGTTGACTCTTGCTTCGTTAGTTTGAGGATGACCTTCTCCCCGAACTCGCCTCCATGAGGTCACGGCCTCTTCTCTGAGCCTGCACACCTCCTCCTTTTCTTCTTGAGTGTGGGCGACCAGGCTTCTGGTGTCGGCAAGTCGGTCGAATGCATGCAAGGTGTCGGGGTGATCGACGCCGAGGAGCTCAAGCATCGCTTTGTGGACCTTCTTTCGCAATGACATCGACTTGAGAAGCCGGCCGTCCCAATCATAACTGTCACCCAGCGCACTTTTTGCTTCAAGGATGCGCAGACGTTCTCCTGAGATTACAGAAACTCTTCTCTGCAGATCCCGTACGGTTTCTTGTCGTAGTTCAAGAGCCCGACGTTGGCCTCCAGATCCGTGGAGGAAGTCTGCCACCAAAAGCCGTGTTCGTACCATCTTGGGATCATCGACGGGCAAGTCGTGTGAGCCACACGTAGCAAGGGCCGCTTCCGCCATTGCCAATGCCTCACTCCGCTGCCCAGTGGACCATAAAGAGTCCGCATGGTTGATTTGAGCAGACCAGAGATAATCGAAGCCTGCTCCCCACTGCTGATAGGCTTGAACAACGCCGGGCTGATACCTCAGTGCTTCTACGTGATGGCCGGTGTGAAAGTAGCAGTCGGCTACCTGCTCATTAACTTGCAGAGTCAATGAATCAGGGACCGAGGTATCCTTGCAGATTTCGATGGCTTCCTTCAGAATATCCCCCGCGTCTCTGAAATGACCTGTTGATGAATATGTGTTTGCCAGTATGAGCATGATCTCTAGTCGTCTCTCGATCTCAGCGAGTTCCACCCAATTGCCCATCAAACCATTTGAAGTAAACGATTCGATATGTGGTATCATGGCTTT